GTCCAACGTGTTGTTGAAGGTGCTCACTACGCTTTATGCTCGATCGCCTTAAACACGCCACTAAAATGTTGGAAACAGCTGACCACCTCGCTGGCAGGTTCCATTACCATGATCCAATTTGATCACCTGCCTAGAAAAGCCCCACAGTCACTAGACGGGGAGGACGTTTTGCATAAAAACAGCAATGTATGATCAACTGAAAAAAATCAGAGGATGATCCCGTTTTTGCATAGCACAGATATCGGCAAACCAATTAATTGTTTGAAAAATGATTCTTTCTCAAATCGTTTCTTTTGATCATTTGATTGAAGCATTGAAGAAGAATAGAAGGAGGAAGTTCCTCTTGGATTCTCAGCCTTCAGGTTAAGATCGGAATTCAGTTAGTTTGGCCCATCGGCTTAGGAAACTCACACAAGAAGTGATTATGTGGGGCAGCTCTGGGAGACTATTGATTTATCGAAATTAATCGGAAAAATTATATGATCATTGCAAACACATCTAGTGTTTGCAAGTGGTGAGTAGCGGTGCACTATCAAGATGCTAAGTAACTGATTCACCAGCGAAGAAATGAGGAGAAGAGAGCATTGAAAATCTAAGATTATACGCGTGACTAATTTCCAGCAGTGGGTGGGCATGCCGTGAGTAGAGACGCAGAGACGCTCAGTGAGAGAACGATTAAAGACAGCTCCCGCGATAAAAGTGTCGTGGATAGTTGTTTTTCAATTATGAAACAGTAGCTGATACCTCGGCGTCTCGAAATGCTTACGGTATCCGAATGAGCATCTGTTTAGTGTAGTGTGGCGCGTCGAGCTTCGCACCACAAAGAATTGGGTTCGCCGTCAATGATTTTACCGCTTTTTACCTTAGCCGAGAGGCGTTGGCAGTTGGCTGTATGTGCTCTTAATAAACTGAAATGCTAATGAAGCAGAGAGCAGAATATAGTGCATCCAACGGCGGTCAGCAAAAAGGGCCTGCGAACTTCCGATTTGATGACCCGCCGCCTCACACAAACGAACAATTGAGCGGTTCCTAGTTCTAACCCCCCGCCTAAGCCGATACGGCCCGCACCTGCTAGATGCCCCCGTCAGAGGGCATCTAAGCAGTCGTCGGTTGCGATTGGTGCGGCGGTTAGAACTGAACTTTCAGGACGCTGTAAGCTCCGCCCCTCCTTCGCCGCGTCTGTATAGTCGCGAGAGTGGACAAGTCCTCTAGCTTGGAGGCTGTACTACCTGCACAGGTGTACTACTTGAAGAGCGGGGGCTGTCTTTAAGCGGGGTAGACCGCATATCGCCCACTCACAAGGGGAAAAAGCGACTTACTCGGCTGCAACACGCAATTGCGAAATGTGCCTTCAAGTCGAGCTCTGGATAAGTCCCCATAGTTTTTGTGAATTGCTGATTCGGAAAAGGTCATTTGTTGAGCTTTTTCTAGTTTCACCAGCTATTCACACCGGCACTGCACAGTGCTGAACTACGAACCGATCAATTGGTTAGCGGCATCACCTTTTTCTGACTGCATGAAAAAATTGGTAGACCCACAAAGGTTCAGAAAACTGATAAATATGGACATTCCATTTGATTAAATTAACCAGTTGAACAACCTATCTACAGGCCGGCATATCTATACATTAGTAATAGTCTAGATGAGGGAGCCAGAATGAAAGGCTCGTTCAGAAACGGACCAGATATCCGCTGGAACGTCGATACAGATCTCATCCAAATCCTCTTCTTGAAGCGAGCTCAACGATGCCATCAACTGAAGGAGTTTGATCAGAAACTCAGAAACACATCATTTATAGAAGACTGAGAAAAGACGGCTCGAATTGACTACACATTTGGATCAACTGCGTTGAAATGAAGAGATATTCAATCGTGAACAAAACAGGACATGACTAGTGATGGGAAGCGGCAGCTGACTGAAGCATACAGCCAACAACGAGCGATCGTTCACGACTACATCGCCATCAATCGATGTCCGCTTAAAAAGCAGAATTCATGGGCTCACATCAGTGGATTCTTCCCTGAAACGAGGAAGCTGTTTACAATCAGACACATTCTAAAAAGTGAACGAAGAAGTCCTCCACTTCCGGTTTAACTTAGATTGAATTTGTTCTGATGGTCCTCACAATACAAGTTTTAGGAATATGGGGGAGGGGTATATCAAAAAATCATGGCCCAGAACAGGGATGATATCATCTGAATAGTACTGTAATAATATGTACCTGAAATTCGTTCATTCACATAGGAGCTCGATCTCCTCACACTCCCTTTAGACCGACAAATGTGCTCAGCCCCACTGTGGTTATTCTGGTTTTGCACAATGTGTCCTTTAAAGGAAAAATCCGCTATCATTAGCCGTGAAGATAGTGGATCAGGGGTTAACGTATAGACTACAAGTTGGTCTGCGCGTAAATTTTGAAGTGAAGAAAAGAACGTGAAAAAAAATCATTGAGACTGTCCTAGATAGAATCTCATTTTGTTCCCAGTTTGCACGTGCCCACTACTACCTCATCCGCTCAGCTGATTCCCCGGAAGGGAGTACGCTCAACCAGTTCCTAGCCGTCCTTCGTTGTACTAGTGCACGGCCCTCAGTCTCCAGAATTATCCTACTCTCGAGGCTCCACAGTAAGTGGTGAAGGCGCTGTGGCCCTCATATGGACAACATTGGGCAAGTCTGACGCCTCCCTAGTTGCCCCGCCCACCGAAACTGGAGGACAATTTCTGTCACGAATGAGGTTTCTACACCGTGATTTTTCGTTCTTTTTTTCTCAGTGTGAGATAGTATGAGCACTGGATCCTAGAAACGATATATGAGCAAAACGACAAGAATGGTCGCATCTCCAGGCCATAAAACGAGCAAGTCGAAAAACTTGTGGTGGACTAACAAGGGATCTTTCCCTTGGGTATTTTCAATGACTTCTTGCTTTTTTCCTAGATAGCGAGTCACCCAGCGGCCATAAGTTCGTAATCGTCACTGATCGTCACTGCCCACAATGTGCAGCCTTTGGAAGATCTTCAAAAGTTTACTTCGTTCCTTCATTTTGATCACTTCAGGTAGGCACTTTGTCTCTTTACACATTCGCATGTACTCCTATTGCATCAGAAAGATGTCTGGTTCCCGGATTTTTCTTTACTAGTAAATGAACTGCTCTGACTGCCAGTTGTGCGAACAGGGACGCTCAGGCTCAGGATTCGCGTCGTGAGCACACACCGATACTCACCACTCCCACGAGAGAGAGTCTAATGAGGAATATCGATGGTGACCTTCATATTTACGGACAATATGGACCGCTCAAGCATTTTGAGCTAGTTTTGCACTTCATTGTGGCCATTCATTTACTCAATAAACGTGAATAATATTTATTCATCGAACGTCGAGCTATCGAATGCATTTGATGTGGATGTGACCAGGTCCTGCAGAAAAGTGTATATGCCCATTTCCATAGAGAGAGAATCAACAGTACAAGATGACAACCTGAAATGTCACATAAAAGAGATAGTAGTTGAGCCAAATCACAGCTAGTGCCCACCTCAAAACGACGCCAACTTGTTCCCTTCAAAAGCTCGTTCCCTCTTGAACTCTCGAATCAGCGTGCCACAGATTCGCCGCAGCTCCAGTGGGTCCTTGATCTTCTCGCGCTAGAATAGGCAAACTTAAGATTTCATGGGTAAAATGACGACGAACGGATTTTCAGAAGTTGCTTACGATGAGAGCATTCGAAAGAGCGGAACGGCAGAACATGACGATCGTATGTTTGTCGTCTTGTGAGAGAAACGGCTCTTCATGCGCTACAACAGGGTCCATTTCTTTTACCGAAGCTGCAAGAAAGAAGTTGCGAAAGGTTTCCTTCGGGATTACGGAAAAGATTAAAGAGCTGTCCTTATAGCACATTGCTGATCCGTATAAGGGAGTTTGGTTTTTGAAGAATAAGGTGAATCATCTTCCTTCCAACACCTAATCTACGTGTGAAAAGAATCAGGTGAAGCGAAAGAGCAGGCAGACCAACGCCTCTGCTCCTACAGAGCTATATCAACCTCTTTCTTAGACGCCAAATAAACATCAGCCTTGAGAACCTGTACCAGTGGGAGATTCTGGCGTCAGCGTGGCTACCCAGGCCGCGATCGGAACGTTACACAACAGTAAAGTGTAGCTAGAGTAAGTGATTTCAAAGTTCTGCGAACATTGGTTAAAAAATTTCGAGAAAAACGCACCCAAATAAAATGTAAAAATCGGTCACTGAAAGATCATAAAAAGTTCGCCAGCGCGCAGAAACTGAATACTGATTATTGAGGCTACAGATTTATTCTTCAAAACAGACGCGACCTCCAACTCAACACATTTAGCTCAAGTAAACAATCTCTTAGCGAAAAGTTATGCCAAGATACAATATTTCCTCCCCGACGCCCGACCGCCTTCCCCTCTCCTATTGCTGTGCACCTGCGACATGCGACAATACCAGGACCCTCGGCACGTATTGCATATCCCAACGAAGGGAGCGTCGGTATAGGGGAGGCGGCTGAATTTATGCCTTTTGAAATATTTTTCCAGGTTACTGATTATTCTCCGTTATCCGTTTTACTAATGTTATTATTAACCCCCTCATTTCTTCCACAAATGCCGCAAGAATTACCTGGGGAAAAATGACGACATTCAACGTGGGAATATTTATAGTCTAGAAATTTAGGGAAATTTACGGTATAGAATGGTAAGGTACGATGGTAGAGGGCGCAGGGAGAGGTTCTATCAATAGGAGGAGGGAAATTAATTGGACGTGGCCACGATCATAGGAAAAATGAGCTCCAACGGCAATACAATGCTACTATGACACCATAGCACTAGCGCACGCCTCGCGCTGAGATACTTACTGATGTAGCTGCTGCATTAAGGATAGTTATAGTATCATCAGAGTTAGACATTTAAGCGACTCATGCTATCTGCAAACATCTTACCAATGTATCTAAACCCACGGCCGGATATGAAGCACTCGATTGTTGTGTGAATCGAAAACAGTGGGCGCTTCAACGGTGACTCCATCAATCTATGATTTTGTCTTGAAATACGCGCGAGTGCTACTGTCTACCCCTTAGTGAACCTCGTAGTAACCTCTTGTGACGCCCTTATCACATCTTATTAATCGTTATAACGTGTACTTGTCACTCAAAAAAAAGTCTCCCGTCCCAGCCTTTCCTGTTAGATCTTATCGCTATTATCATTTGCTCTCACCTGAATATTATTTCTCTCACCTGAAGATTATTTCCATTAGACATAACCACTTTTTTGAAACCAATGTCCACTGCCTCTCTGCGTCTTTCGCGCTTTCGAATTTTTCGTGCCAGACAAGCCAGACAAACACAGAAACACACACACGCGCGCACCTTTTCGGAATCCTGGAGGTAGGCGTGGCGGTTCGGTGCCTCAACCTCTGAAAGGTGCTTCTGTACGTGCGCAATGGCACAATTGCTGACTCATGTCTCTGTCCAACAACAGAACAACGATGACAGTTGTCCCAGACTAAATGTTTCCAGCGAGTAACCAATCCGTCGCATGTTCAAATGCCGCTGCCTACGTTTCAGGAGATAAGGAGTCTCATAACAGTCGTCATCCTTGCACTTGATAGGGGCGTGTCGGCGAGAAGGAGCGTGCACACTGTTTGAAGCCTTCTCAGCCTTTTCGTTGAAACGCGTATGCGACAAAAAGTGATAGAAAACGAGTAACACGAAGGATATAATACAGTAATGTCACTCTCTGGTTCAACGATTGGTGCAGTACGGGTGCGGGCGACCGCGCCGCACGCAGCCGCACTGACATTGACTATCAAGTGCAAGGATGACGACTGTACTTTTTGAGCGGATGTATATATTGTGGGCTGCTAGCAGGAGTTTTCTGGGAACGGATTTCCTTGGAAAATTCCCTAGTGAAATGTCTCCAACTCTGGAATTCAATAAAATCTTTAGAACGTTTTGCCGTACTTCAATTGGTTTTCCCTTCAGTCCAGAATTTATTATGAGCATCAAACAGCTTTGACGACAAGCATGGCAATTCGATATCGCACGGATTATGGATGGGGTTCCCTTGGAAGTACGACGTACTGGGTTCGACTAGAAAGCCCTCAAGCTCCAGTTTGGTATTCGCAATATAGTGAAAAGCGGCCTGCTTTGATCTACAAGACAGCAAATGGTTCCTAATGTATCTCCCGAATGAGTAAAGCAGAAGTTCTCGCTCTAGGTCAAGAAACAAGTGTGAAGCCCATTTCCACGTCAATGAAGCACTACGAGATTCTATAATATCCTATTGTCTATGACAATCCCTACCAGAGGGTGTGGAGGTAGCTTAGCTCGCTTTATATCAGGAGACAGGCAGCTCACCCGACAGGAAGATTCAGTCATCAATCGCCACACTGGCCTTTAGTGTCTGTGGATATCTCCGAGTAAGGAATAGGCAAGAACTTTATGAATCGGGCGAGAAGTTGCGCGTGCCAGTACTCCTTAGTCACATTACACCGGGGAAGAGCTGGTACGCAGAAGGGCACAAAACTGAGCCCCAATTGACCAGGGTGGGCTCATTTGTTTATAAACTGCAGGCCAACAGTAGAAGAGGACAGAACTGTTATGGACCCTTCACCCCAGCGCTTCCCACAGAATTGCCTCAAACCACCGGTACTCGATTCTGAAATGGAATTTCCCATGAATTTTTGAAAATGCGGAGCATCGCAGTGATGTACTCCGGCTAAGTGCAGAGTGTGGCTGATAATGCCCCAGAAATCCTCGAAATGACGGAATGATCAACTCCATACATGAAGCATCGTCCCTTCCCCGAAGATTATTAGAATACGGCCACGAAAACCTTTCCAAGAGGGGCTGCCTTCAAAGAGAGGACTGTTCGGAATGGCCTTCTCCGATTACCGCAGCCAGCGCAACATCTAATGGTAAGAAGCAAGTGATTTGTTAGTAAGGGCCTATCCGAAAGAGAGTTGGCCAACTCCCGCAGTTGTGAGATGGCTGAATGCAACTGATAGCCTGTGGAAATTGTCTTCATAGACAGAAACCTAAGCAATGTGCAGGCAGGGTATTTCCCAACGGAAACATCAGAAAAAATTTAGAAAAACACAGAAGCTGAATAAAAAGAGTAAAAAAAATTTCGGAAAAGAAAAAAATAGCGTTCACTCGTATATTGTATGGGGCCGTGGTGCACGTCAACGTTGACTCACCATTGACACCCGTTTTAAAAACCATTTTTCCATTGCTCCGCTTCTAAGAAAACTACAGCTATCCAAAGGAAGGGTACTCGTGTTCACGGAAAACAGGTTACCCAGGAGTCAACCTGCTCTGATGTAAAGGTCACTGGGATGCTAATTTAATTAACTTGAAATTTAACAGGGCTGGAACGATCAGTACCGCTATTCTGGGATGGCATCCTACTAATATCTCTACTTCCCATCTCTATGCTGAACCTTCTTATGCGTCCAGACGTTTCCTTTCCTGCAACCTTTTACGTATAAATATCTAAAACATCCCAGATCTAATAAGATTGAGGATACAGGATGCTTGAAGAAGAATTCGGATAAATGAGGGTTAGCCTATTCATACATAATTGAAGGTTTTCATTCCTTCCTTATGAGTTCTTTACTGTGAAACTTCGAAAAGTGCAAAAAGAACTCACTTCCAACAAAGTAAGTTAGCGAATTTGCGGCCGGTAGTAATAATAAGAAGAGCAGCAAGTGCAAGACGATGGCTCGGGGTCGACAATCGAACGTAACGTAATAACTCTGAAACAATACTGATTAAGTAGCAGGCACAAGTATTTATTCTGACATTTTTTGAATATTGTTTCGTTGTTCACGAAGTGTAGCCTCTCGCCTATTCACTCTTAGTCTTCCACTGGATCGTAGGGAAAGTTGAGGGGTATCATAGGGGTGGAACTATGATGGAACTTCGGTACTACGGTGTAAGGCCGCGTGCACCAGCGTTCCGAGCGTCCGGCAGCGTCAGCGACTAGGAAAATATAGATATCGGTCTAGCATCTGCCAGCGTCTGCTGGCGACCAGCAGCTTCTCGAGAGCTGGGGAAGTATATGCATTAGTCAAGCGTCTGCTAATGTCTTCCAGCGTCTGCCAGCGATCAGCAGCGTCCGAGAGTGGAGAGCATGGGGATAGGAGGGTAGTGTTCAGCTACCAGAGTATGGGGAGATAGGAGGGTAGCAGATTGCTGCTAGAGAGGATGGCACCATAGGAGTGTAGTAGACAGCTGGCACCATTCTATCGCCCCATACTCTTTACTAGCTGGTCGCTGCTAGACGCTAGCAGATGC